ACTCAAACTATTTTATGTACACAAAACTCTGCTCCTCTGCACTCTAAGCTCCATTTTTTCAGTGCGAATTTTGCCCGAAAACATTTACGTTGAAGAACTATCTAAAACTTCATGTGAAGCAAGTCCATGAGCAAAATGAGCGGAAACACGTCTGCCGTTTTTGTGGCAAAAGTTTCGCCTATGCTGGAAGTCTACAGGTAAATCCCGAATATTTTGTCAAAACCGTGCAGCTTTTGCATTTTTGGAGAATTTTAGGTCCATGTAAGAACGCATACCGGAGAGCGACCATATCGTTGTAGTTACTGTCCGAAAGCATTTGCCAGTCAAGGAAATCTGCAATCGCACGAAAGGACGCATACTGGTGAGCGGCCATACACTTGTGGCACTTGTGGGCGGAGCTTCATTCAGGTATGATTGGTTGGAGTGAGATCCTGAGCGTGGCTTGCCACAAAATGTCCATTTTGGGCGTGGCTTGTCACATTACAACTGTTATGGGCGTGGCTTGCCTAAAAATCAATATTTCAGAAATCTCAACTCACCGCTCATGAAGCCACCCATGCGTCGATTTTGTCCGAGACGCCGTCGTCGCAGCACAACTCGTCCGCTGCCGCCGTCACTGTTAGCACAGTCCCTGGAACCACGCCCACCTTGGGAGGTCTCGAGAAGAAATTGCCAACAACGCCGACGTCAGCCGACTACATGTGCAAGTTCTGCGGCAAGCGATACGCCTACGCAAGCAGCTTGTACGTGCACACCAGACTACATACGGGAGAACGACCGTTTAGGTAGATCTAGGATAGTACCGTAATCCCCTCACGCTAAAGTTTAAAGGACGCATCAGCTTTTGTCAGCCCTATATCCTTCCCCCTGTTATTGAGAGAACTTGACTATGTGACTCTGGGCTCATAACTGTTGGCGTACATCGATCAATCCGTATCTTTTCTAGATGCCAATTCTGCGATAAGACGTTCACCAATCAAGGCAATATGCAAGTTCATCAGCGAGTGCATACTGGCGAAAAACCGTGAGTACACAAACCTTTTTTTCATACTGTATCCAATTGTGCAATTGCAGATACTCGTGCAACGCC